CAGTAACATCAACTTAGTCAGATGAGATATGCTGTGACAGTGAACGGAACGGGCTGCTGATATGGATATGATACAACCTGCAAGCGTTTGGTCTTTATCTTGTACGACACAGTGCTTTATATGTATTAAAAAGGGCAAGCTGCTTTTTTAATGTGAAGAAAAATAAATGGAGGAGTTCTGCTATCACTGAAGCAAGTGGGAGTCATGAAGTTAATTAGACTTGGATGAGATTGCATCCAGCCTGATTCATCCCATGTAATTTACTTTACTAGCAAAACCTGGTCATGAAATGCACTACAAGCAAAATACATACCTGAGAAAGCAATCTGGATTGTGTTTATGTGAAAAGTGCTGCAAACTCATAAATGACCTTGGTAATTTAGGCAGGCCACTCATTTTTGAGAGGGGAGGGCACGTCTTTCATATCAAGGGTAAACCAAGGAGGTTGTCTATGCTTTTAAAGGCTAGCAGCACAGCGTGGTGAAGTGAAGAGAGGAGATATAGGCTAACAACCTGATTTGTGGCTGATGCCAACAGAGACCTTCAGCAAGCCAGAACGCTTGTCAATAAGCAAGTTATAAAAGCCAGTACAAGAAGCTGGGAGTGGAGCTGAGTGGGGAAGATGCGGAGTCATGGCTCTGTCTGCAACCCTGTTCTGCGATCTTCAGCGGAAACCTGCTCAGCAGCCGTTCTGCAAAAGTCTTGAAAAGCAGCAGGAGTACAAAGAAAACCATCTGCAATAAATTGAACATCCAGAGTTCCCTCTCCACTGAGTGTCAGAAATTCAGGTGTCATCAAAGGACTGTGTTCTCCTGGTAGCAGCTGGTAGCAGCCCGTGTGCTTCCAGGCAGACGTGTCTTTATCTGCAAAACCAACGCCTCATGAACCTCAGCTTTGCTGCTGATCAACTCAGGCAGGTTTTTCTAGAGCCTTCCTGTCAGCGTTGCCTCCCAATGGTCTTAGCTCGGTCTCTGGTTGTTAAACAGCAGAAGCTCTCATGTCAAATTACAGATACTCAAGCTAAGGGTATTCTGCTTGCAGAAGCAACGTGTTGCAAGAATTATTATAGTATCTTTTACCTTATTAATCCTTACACCTTATAGTTTTAGAACAGACTTCTCCACTACTTAAAACTGTTCAAAATTCATACCACTAAGCTGTAGAGTCATCAAGCACTACTTTTACCTGTAATTAGTGTTCCATTATACTTGTTCAGACAGTGTTCTTATTCCACTCATCCAAACCCAGAAGAAATTTAAAAAGGCACATAAACATTAAATATTTGTAGAAGAAACATAATCTGATATAAACAAGCAAACACACAGCTGCAACTATAAGTTACAAAAAGAAACATGGAAACTAAGCAAAAAATGCAAAAAGCAACTCTATTTATACATGTGCAAATCAACTTGCATATATGAAATAAATGAGGTTTTTATTGGCATTTTTAAACAGTGTGTATTTACCAACTTTACCTTTCAAAGGCAAGCCTTTTATGTTAATTTTAATAAATATGTAAATGCTTCTCTCAAGTTTTCTAATCCTGTAGGAACAAGATTTTTGAAAAAAACAAGGTCACATACAAAAATACAAAATTTTAAAAGAAAGAATGTCTTGATATGAGAGATATGTTTAAAAGCTTCTAAAGTGTTTTTATATTCAACTTTTTGATATTTTTTCCCCCATCAACCGCTGATCAATATATTCAAACGCAAGTCATGCAAAAAACTCATTTCTGACTACAGGAAGCTGCAAGCTTTACTGTCAGACTGCAAACCAGTAGCACAGCCCATCTCTAACGGCCTTGTTTGAGTGCAGGATTTGGACTATGCACTTGCTCTGTAATTAGGAAGGAAAATCGTTACGGAACTTGGACAGAAGGCTGCCCTCATTCCGGCAACGTGGATATATATTGTAAGCTTTAGTAAAGCATTCCAACGTTGAAATAGCCCCACGTGGATTTGCCTGAGTGCTTATCCGCAGAAGGATTCACTTCTTTATCAACGCACGAACAAGCGCCGCTGCGTGATGGGGGAGTGTGTCACCAGGTTTAGTGAGTGCCAGTTACAAAGTTTATGCACCTGTGTGAGAGTCTCTTTTCACAGAGATTTAAGCTGAAGCTGTATTTCATGAATGTAGTATTTCTTCTGAAAAGAGAGCTTAAAATTAATAACAGAGGCCTATCAAATTATAGGTCTTGAGTCTATTTTCTTTAAGATTAATGATTCTCTACAGGTTTTGGCAGAAACAAGAGTCAGACACACCCAATTCTGAAGCCAACTTAGATGTTCTGTCTCTGGCTGAAATGCAAGCGGCATTGGTGTCGGCCGTTTCATTTTTGCCAGTATGCAGTAATTCAGTTCAGTAGACTAGAAAGAAATGGCGCTACAGCGTAAAAAAACCCAGAGCTTTATAATAGACTCTCCCTGCTGTGGTAAAGGCAAACTTAGCATTTAGCAAAGCACTAGACCAGAAAAATCTTATAGTAACAAATACCAAACAAACCCCTCCCGTCTTTAAAGGTTTAGAGGCAAAATAAAATGCAGAATGCCATGTAGACCATACAGCGGGGGGGGAAACAAGCAAATATGTATTTACAGCAAAGAATTACACTACAGCAAAAACTATGCATTTTGCATTCTTTAAGTGCACACATAGAAATCTTTGTTTCCGGTGCAATTCCATGACAGCTCTGAATTCCTGCCTGAAGAACCTCAGGCTGAACAGGTAAAGGCAGATTCTGCTGTTGCCTTTACTCTCAGCACCAGGTATATACTTTGATACGCAGGATTTCCCAGTTGCACAAATATGCACAGGTATGTGGGGAATATTTGATATAAATACAAAACTAATTGTTGCGCCTGCTCCGATCCATTTCCAATCCTCCTCCCCCAGCTTTTCTCGGGTATTAAAACTGTTGCAAACTACATTTGTGCTGACCAAAGCAAACACTGAGCTATGGGAAGAGTAAGGATTTTCATAGTAGTTGGTGTTTGTTTGCTTTTAATACAAAAAGTTTGCCTCCCATTATAGAACCCAGCTGTTCTGTTCGTGGAAAATTACTCTAAAATACAGCAGATTTTATCATCATCACAACCCAGTTACTGGTGACCCTGCTGTCCAGCAGCTCCCACGTACCCTTTTTGGATACTCCACAGTCTCTCAGGAGGACGTTCCTGTGCAGCGCACAGCAACGTTACAACCTGTTACAGGGAAACACCGTCAGGAGTGCCAGGGCAGGAAACTAGAAACTTCAGGAAGCTAATTCATTGCTTTTAAATTGAGCCTTTAACTGTATGCTGTTCTGTTCTCTTAAGAGTTTATCCGCAGTGAAACAGCATTTCCTTTGCTTGGTCTTTGGCAGGTCAAGAGATAGATCAATAATCACACACAGAAAATGAATGCCAGTTACAAGAAAAACCTGAACCAATCAGATACATCCCAGGAAAGAAAATTTAAAGGATCTATGCTTTTCATTATTACTTAGTAATGTTTGTTAATATTTACGAAAAAAATTCATGTTGATTTGATTTTTTTGTTTCCAGTATGGTCAGGGCACGGCCAAATTACAAACCTGCAGACTAAGAATGCTTTCAAAATACACCTAAGATTTGTTTCTCGCTAATCTTAGCATATCATTTCCTGACTACAAATGGTGCTGTCAAGCATGTCACCTTCTGCTGAAAATAACAAAAATTACCTCTATAAAAAGAAGGCAGTTTAGAAGATTTACTTGCTGCTCTAAAAAGATGAAGTTTGACTTGAATTTGAAACTCTTGAATTGTTTTTTTATTAAATATTTAACTGGTGTGCCTGCTAAAAAAAAAAAAAAAAAAAAGGAATACCCATCCTCCCAAACTGAAAATCAACAAACCCACGAGATTGATCAATGCTTTTCTTAGCAGTTGGCTCCTCTTACTTGTTCTTCAGAAAAAAGTTCTCTTAAAAAACCTAGCTAGTTATGAAGACATTTTACATTTCTACCATACAATAATTATAGTTAGCTTAGTTTAACCTTTCTATGTCATTCAGCAACACTTTAACTACTGGAAGCCATAGCAAACTGAGGCTCTAACGATAATATTGCTCCAATGATGCTGAATACTTTTTGCTTCACACGGTATTTCTAGTAGACAGACTACAACAGAAGCACGGGCAAATTCCAAGGATTACTCTCTAAGTGGGACCAGTAAACTGTGACAAGTCCATTCCAAACAGGGCAGTATGGTTTTGTAGCTTTCCCACACCGAAGAATGCCACAACCCCAGTCAGCTGTCAAGTCACCAAGACGATGTGTCACCCGCTGGCATCTGCCTGTTTGCTCACTCATGACACACTCTGTTTAGACTGCTCTGATGCAGCAGCAGTGATGCTTGTTGTAGACAAAGATGTAAAAAAAAAGAGGAAAAAAAAGAAAAGAAAAAAAAGGACTGGGCCCAGATAACCCCGTAACAGGGTACAGAGCTATCTTGTGAAGTAAACCACTTTGTAGCCTTTCAAGCTAATGCAGTACCCGAACCAGTGACCTATAATAAAATGTTAGTCCTTCCTCCCCTGCATCCCCCTCCCTCAAGCACACTTCTTTCAATTTTCACTGGAATGAAGTTGAGATCCTTTAGCTAACCACGATGGAGGATGTCCTAAGTCGTTAAAAAAAATAGAAAACACTTCACCCAAACAACAAAAGAAGTTTGATGGGTCTAGGAATTTTCTACAAGCTATTCTGTGCAGTCATCTTCAAATCACTGTAGAACATGAAACTCATCTCTCTTCGCAAACAGATGAAGGAATCTGAAGAGTTACACTGCAAATGTTCTTACAGGAAAAAAAGCTCAGTTAGCTGTTTGTTATGAATCCCTCCTCTCTTAGTAGGTAATTCTGCCCAGCAATGATAGCTCTGCCTGCAGCGAAAAACCTGGACAAAAGTGCAGGAAGTAATAAGTAGCTCCTCTTGAAACTACTTACATTTTGTCCTCAACTCAAGAGCAGCTCTGCTGCTGCTATAGGCAGTCTTTACAAAGCGCAACCTGCCCCTTAATATAGTCTCTGCAGGGGCAGATTCTTCTGTGGGTCGGGTGGGATCCAGCACAGCTGAACAGTAAGAGGTCACCTTGGAAAACACAGTGCTTCCTTCTTCCATCAAAAGAGGGGACCAGAATATCATTTGCAGACTCCATGGTGAGACATTCGATATTATGCCTAAAAAGCAAAGCACATGATCTTAATCACAGAGGAATTTACAGGAGTTCAGTACAGTTTTCATCCCTCATCGCTAAAAATAAAATAAAATGCTATATCGCATGCTAAATCAAGGATGTTTAGAATTGCAGATTTCCAGAACATTACTCTCATTTCACCAGCGCAGATTTTCTCTGCAGAGGGCAGTACAGCCTCTTCAGCTTTTACTCTGTTACCTAAATGTTAATGAAAAGTTAAAAAGGGAAAAAATGCTTTTGACTGTTCTCCAAAGCATCGCATTTAAATATACCATGGATTTCTAGTACAACAAAATCGAAGAATCTGAAACCAGGAGATATTCTCACTGATTTTTTTCCAGGGCAAGCAACACGATGCCAGTGCTGGGCAGCCCTGGGCTGCTGAACGGGGCTGCTGCTGCGCTGCACTCCAGCTGAAACTGCTCATGGCACGGGGAACCAGCCAGCACTAGCTAGCTGAGAATGCGAACATTTCTCGTTGCCGTTTTCTGACCACAAAGCTTAGGCACGAGGGTAGCAATTCCAGCAGGGGCTTGTTTTTCACTTATTCTGGGAACACTGGTAGCTTTCAGCATTTAACAGATTTTTTTTTTTTCTTCCCCACAGAATTATAATTTTGTCTAGACAGTCAAAAAGAAGCCTAAGTTTTTATATGAGGCGCTTCTGAACTCCACGGGAAATGACAATTTTTCAAACAAAATACAAAAATAAAAACCTTCTACAATTTAATTTAGCAAAAAGTGGAGACAGAAAACCTAGGAAGCAGATTCCTGAGCAGCCGTTTGTTGGAGTCCAGCTTTGAAAGCTTTGTTTTCATTCTCAAAGGAACACAGACATATTCCTACAGAGACAGAACCTGAAAGCAACATTCATTTCCTTAATGCATAGCTTTATAGATTGGTACTAATACCCGTAACATACACTTAAAATTTTTACCTAGGACAATACTGACAGAAAGTTTGCAGAAACAGTGATTGCTAATTGCCAATGAATACAGATGTTTCAATACAGATGTTAATCACAACCAACAGGGGAGCTTAATAAATAAAAGGAACACTTTCAGTGCTATATTTAAAACCATGTGAACAACAGTTAGAAATCACACAATGTGGACAGAGTTCTATTTACTGAAACAAGATGTATTTCATTTCTGACCCAGCTGGCGGAGCACAGTCAGGATGAGCATCAAAAGTCATGCAAGTCCAGCGACTCTTAAAAGCGTACGGCAAAAACAAGGGAAGAGAGTGCCCGCCCAGCCAGGGCTGCCAAGGGTCCCCCCAAACAAAAGGACAGTCCTGGCCGCTGCCATCCCCGCAGCACCAGCCCCTCTGCTCAGGGCACGCAGTCCATCATCAAAGGGCGCTGGAGGGTTCGTGCATGGAGGAGGTGGGAGGGGGAAGGAAGAGATGTAAATTTTTGGCCTCATTGCTGTGTGGACCAGGTCTCTCGGCACAGAAGCAACCTCTGCCTTCTGCTGCTGCGAAGCCTCACAGCGTGCTGCAGGCAAACACAGAGCACTTCTCTCTCCACCTGCCCTTCTCACAGAATTTGCATGCTAAAACCCGTATGTGGCAAAAACCAGCGCAACGAAAAGAGACCAAATAAAACGTCTGTGCTTTGAAGTACTCACCTAAGCAGAGCTTTGTCCTTGTTAAGATGTTGGAAGAAGGAAGGCTCGCAGATGAGCTGGCTTTCCTGACAAACTTGTTTACAGGATTTTCCAGGTTCAGCAATTTTTACTTGAAGGGCACTTAATGGAGGCCACATCACCTGCCCATGACAGAAATCCTGCAGTGACAGATATTTTATTATGATGCATCCAGTCCCTTGACAGCAATTTTCCCCATTAATAAGTGATTATCGTCCAAACACTTATTTTGCAAATTATTTCAATATGATTAAAACCAGTAATTTCAGCACATTTAGAAAGAACGGTTTTAGCATGAGGAAACGATCACCTGTGATTGCTACTTGAAATGTGGCAGCATCATTCTTCCCAAAGAAGCCTCTTCCCTACCTTTACCATTTTTAATTTATCATAAACGACTCCACACACCCAACCCATTTTGGCTTTTTCAGCAACTCCTGTTCCACTAACTCAGTGCTAGTAGAACTATTTTCGAGGCAGCACAAATATCAGGAGGAAGTTCTGGCAGGAGGAGAATTCCAGAGGCCAGATAACCTGTAGGTGAGAAACGTCTCAAGCGCCCCACATGGAAAGCCGCAGTTTTCGTACTCCCACATCTAACCAAAAATTTAGTATTATACAAGCATGAATCACAGAATATTCTGAATTGAAAAGGAAATGTGAAGATTCATAGAGTCCAACTTCTGACTCCACAGAGGGCAACCTAAAAGCTAAACTGTGTGTTTAAGCGCACTGTCCAAACACTTCTTGAACACTGGCAGGCTTGGGGCCACGACCACTTCCCTGGGGAGCTTGTTCCAGTGCCTGACCGCCCTCTCAGGGAAGAGCTTTTCCTCAGTACCCATTCCAAACTTCCCTGATGCAGCTCTAAGCCATTCCTTCATGCCGTATTAAAAATCAGTAATTTTAGACCATATTTATGGCAGAATAATTTTAGCAGTCTCTAAAAAAACAGGTTAACAAGAGATGGTTGGAGGTACTTTTTAATGAGGTTGTTTCAAAAAGGTCATTTTGTTATTTCGACTTAAAGTGCCTTCCTATATCTGTCCTTTTATAAATCTATATTTAAAACATTAGAAGCAGCAAGAAATCTTTAGAGGTTCCAAATCCAGCCCTATACTGTAATATATACAATATGGTAACATACACTAATGTAAATATGTACAATAGAATGCTGTAATATCAGAGTGGATCCCAGCTACTGCTGGCAGAAGACCAAGTTTTTCAAAGACAATGAATCCCTTGTGAGGCTTCACTATTTCCTGGGGGCTTCAGCTTCTAACATCTCTTGGTTGAAAATCCTCCCCCAAACTGGCACAGCCTCTCATTTCCAGGCCATAGCTTAGTGGGGAGCCTTCCTCAGCTTATGCCACCTTGAAGCATGTCTCACAGGTACCAGCACACAGGGCAACCATCAAAAGCAACTGAAATCTGGTATCTTCACCCAAGTCTATCTTTGCTGACAACCCTGCGCGCATAAAGGGTAAAATAAAGAAAAGATGTTCAAGAGAAGGTTAACCTTCACCAGAGACTGCATTTACATTTGGTTTACCTAGAAGCACAATTTCAAGGTGAGACAGGCTTAGCCCTGCCGTCTGAGGCAGCCCCCACCCTCTGGCTTTTCTTGCTCCTGGATGAATGCCCTCACTCCAGTCCTTTGGCCAAGCTCTGGCGCTCAGCTGGCCGGTCAGTTTGCTAACCTAGCTGAGCCCTGCCAAGAACATTTTCTGCCAGGTTACCAAGCATCCCACTCGACCACATCTTTCAAAGTCAGCACGTCTGTTACAGAACGTGTCTGTTCCATGAGCCCAGCCTGCCTCATCCAACAGCTCCCAAGTTTGCAAGAGGGAATCCCACAGCTGCTGCGGCTGCAGTTGCCTGGCCACTCCTTTGATGCTAGTGCCAATTTAAGTAGTGCCACCCTTTGGTTCCCACCCTGGGCCATCGCTCTGTAGAGCTGACCCAACTGTTTGTGCAGCCACGGAGCAAACAGGATCAAGGGACGGATTCAGCAGATGGCGCAGACACACCTGACAGCCATGCTGGGCCGCTGGCAGGGAACTGCACCGGCAGCAAGAAGTTGCGTGGAGTGAAAGTGGGTTTGATCCAGCTGAAGGTGGCACTGCTAAATGTGAAACCACAGCTCACAGTAGTTCTCTTACTTCAGATCCTGAATATGTTCATTCCAGCTGCTGCATGCGAAGATTTAGGGAATTCACTTATACCTTTCTTGTGAACACTGTCCTCCCCACTGATACCGAGCCAAGGCCTCAAAATGGAATCTCCAAACAACTCCTTTAATCCCTACAGCTCCATTGTTCCATCAGGTGACTTGTGGGTGAGTGTATCTAGCCCCATCCTCTTCACAAACAGCCCCTGAAGACCGCACTCTCACGGTTAATGCATCCTGTAACCTCTGAACCAGATTAACTCCATGCGCCTTTGTTCCTGTTCCAAGCTTGTGCTGCTTTCTCTATTCTGCCTGCCTCCCATCATAAACTCTTTAAAATAAGGTCTCAACCTTTTTTTTTTTGCTTCATCTGAGATGTTAATCAGGCACAGTGCTAAGCACATGCAGCTAGTAATGATGCCTGAGCATCCTGGGAGCTGCAAAACAATAATGGCTTTTGACAATTAGTTAAAGCAACAAACAAAACAGACAATGCTGTATTTCCAAGTAGCACCCGGTCCAGGCCAGGGCTTAACCCTTGGGGAAGGTCCAGAGGAGAGACAGGTTTGCCCCACAGATGCTCTCTCTAGATTTTCTCTTTCTCTCCCTCCCACTGAGCTCCATTTCTTCCTGTACTGACAAAAAGTCTCAGTTATAGCTAACTCCGGCAGAAGAATCAAAAGAAGCACAGATACTTCTACAGGCTCTGCCACCAATACAGCAGCAAAGGCTTAACATGTTTATTGGCAGAAAACTGGAAATAGCTATTGTATGTTAAATACACTTCTGACCTGAAGCTGTGTTGTATTCTTTACTACCGTGTTTAATATCATCCAGTTTCAGAAATACAGGCAGAGGAGCATGTCCCAGTGCTTTTGAAAGAAATCCTGGCAATCCACTGGCGTATCAGAGATACAGATTACTCCTATCTCTCCTCTGCAGCAGCCAGAACAAAAGGCAGAGCTGGTGCTGCAACAGATCTGCCCTTGGGCAGAAGTCCAAGCAAACATACAGTTTCTAGAAATCAGGATCCCATGTAAATCATCTCTGCAGTTAATTACTTCAATACCTTCTCCTGCTCTCAGCTGGCAATAATGCATGGGGACCAAAAGTCTTTAAATAACTAGTTTCCAAACTATTTACAACTTTATCAATTTAAACCAAATACTTGAAAAATCTGCCCAGATATTTCAGTGTAAGTGCAATTCTACAACAAAAGTATCTCTATATTTATGTGATACTTCATGATCTAAAGGCTTTTTCGATACACATGGCTAAAGAAGTCACATACATGCTGAAAAATTACTTTGCCTTTCTATTTTGATATAACACCAAGGACTGCTTCTACTTGACTATTTCTACTTCAACAGCAAAAACACTGAGAAGCTTTAAAACGGAGATGGTCCTCCCTTTCCAACATAAAACAAACAAGTCATGCACAATAAAAGTTAATACCTGTTTTTCAATAAACGCATTCATCCTCTGAAGCATTCCCTCACATGTAAATTCATAGGGCAAATAAGGGTCAATCTGTGGAAACACAGTATATTAAAATTAGAGGGTTTTTTGTTTCAGATGAACTTTGTGGTGTGCTGTGTGGTAGCAGCTTTATTCCAAATAATATGTTACAGTTTAAGAAGCAAAAATAAACGCAAATAAACTCATTAACGAATCACAATTCTGCAAAATCATTAAGCTGATTTTTGCCCCTTTGTAAAGGTGATAAAAATTGGTCAGTGATTATCTTTACAGAAACTCAGGGTATATTGCAAAGTGATAAAGTCAGCCTGGGACCCTATGGGATTCCAGAGATCCTGTTTTAACGAAGTTACAGTTCTGGAGTTGAAGTGAAAATGAAAATATTAGGACAAAAAAGAATGTGATACCTTTGAAAATTACTTCAATCTATTTTTTTTTGCCTTGAAGTGCCCTCATTACAATTCCACACTGCAAGTGCACAAGCACTTCCACTGACAGTTACAAGCCTACAAAATCATTCAAAAGTCAAGCACGAACTTGGACAGCCCCCACTGCTCTAAGAATCAACATGGAAACTTCCTCACTGAAGGCACAGAAAACATAGATTGCTGTATAATTTACACATGAATTCACGTTTCTATACAAATTTATTCATGCTTATTTTTTGCAGGTATAAATTGGATATATTCAGTACTAAAATATGACAATCAGACAGCACAGAGTTGTAATAACATTTTTTTCCCCCAATATCCTACTAATGTACAGCACTCTGCTTAAATTAGACTAACATTAGAAACACTCTGCAGGCAATAAACAATACACCCCCTCAAGAACTGATGACATATTGACGATACAGTTCTCACCTTTTGATTCAAAATTGACTTCACAGCCTTCTCAACTTCAGAAAGATCACTGATGTCCACAGTCCAGACATGGGGCTTCCCAATGTAAACCTCAGCATAGGGATGCTGAGATGTCAGCTGAAACAAAGAAATGGTATTGGTAAAAATCAATGTGTTGAGATATCTTTCCCTCTCACTCTCTCATGAGACTTCTGATGAAATGCACTATCCTAACGCAAGACTTCGGCTGGAATCTAATAACAGTGTCATTCCTTCTGAGTTATCCTTCAGAACTTCTGTCTTTAAATTTAGAGAAAATTCGCTTGGAAAACTGCAAACCAGATAATAATGCAGATCACAACTAACATTTGTGCACCTCTAATTCATGACTTCAGTCCTCATAATGTCCCACATTACAGAAGACTTGATTACTGAAATCACTTTTACGATGTAACCCTGCTGCCCCGGTGCTCATTCCCAGAGCAGCCCTCTGATTTCACAACCCGTAATTGCTACTAGTCCTGGTTAGATCTGTGTGACTGGCTTCAAGAAATGCCATCCTCACCCTGTCTCATCTTCAGACAACATCCTCGGCCTGTCTATCCCTCAAATTTGAAACAGTTCCAAGCTTCTCTGCATAGCAGTGAATAAAGAATAATTTCTATCACTTAGGATGAATTCTGACTCCCGCTGCTGATAGTAAAAGAGTAATTTGACCTCAATAAGAGCATTAACTGATATTTTGCTCATCACTTTGACAGAAACAAATCCGATAAATACCAAAGTAGCTGACTAAGAAAAGTCGTACCAGAGATTGCCTTCAGAACTAGCAATACAGCACTAAAAGCAGTTTTGGTGACAGGTTGCACAGGAGTGAGAGGAATGTGCAATGAGCGCACTGAGAGGAAGGAAATGCTGTGGAAGAGAGGGAAGCGTTTCACACTGGCCTCACAAGACAAATGGTTTTTAAATCAATGTTAAAAAAACTCCCTACAGGGTAGATTATTCATAGACAATTTTAATACAGCTGCCACTTTATGCAGAAAAATCTAGTCAGTGCAAAAGATCTAAGTTCAAAACAGTGTCTGTTGAAGAGAACCTTCTCCTGCCCTGGGCAAATACCATACTTGCTCTCTTCCTCACGTGACGGCAAGAAACTACTCAGAATCTACTCAAAATCTTTTTTTGCCTGTTTCCTTCTGCTTGTGGATAAGGGAAGCCAGTCTTATAGTTACATATGGGATCAGCTAAAAGTAATCTGTGCTCCCAGAGCAATGCCCAGGGGGCTCTGTGCAGGCTCCCACCCGCGGCGGCGTGGCGCTGCCGAGAGCTTACTTGGGCTGAGCTGCTGCACCCAGGCAGCTGCACTCACCCGCAGCCACTGCACTGTGCTCCCAGCAGCGTATTTTAAATTCCTCCAAGAAGTCCCATGCTTCTTGATTGACATATTCTAAGCCCTAGAAATTCCACAGAGGTTTGGGAATTACACCTTACACCACCTCTTTCTCTACCATCTCAGACAGACAGATGGCAACGCTAAAGTCAGGTCTGATCTGGAAGACTAACAACTAAACTTCTCAAGTATTAAGAGTAACTAGCAACATATTTTAATTGCACCAGTTTTCCATATCAGTCTCAGAAAAATATTAAGACTACTTCCTAACACTGAAATGTTTTAGTTAGCTGAGGCTTAATGTTTTAAACATTCAGGAGATACTCCCTCTGCCTACAATTAAAATCTGTAAATATATTTGGAATTAACTCCTAATTTCATGTCGTCTTCTTTTTCCTTCCTAAAAGCAGAAAACTAAAGAAACCACACCCATGAAGTATACCTTTCAGCTAGGGGGAGGGAGCAGAATGGAGAAGAAATATTGGTGCAAACAGTGGTACAAAACAAGCTGCTCAAAGATGATTTTTTTCCCCATCTCCTTCCTCCAGCAAAATCATGTCCCAAGACATGATGAGGGGAAATTCTTAACCTCTCTTCCCCCCAATTCTAGCTAGAATAAGAGAGAAATAGTAACTTGCAATGGCTACTTTACAAAAGTATTAAACACAGACTTTATCTTCAGATTGGTCTATGGATAATCAATTTGCAGAACTACACAAGGTTTTTTTGATCTCCTTTACCACTTGAAAAAATTGAGAGGATTTAAAGACTTTCTTAATCCCAAAGAACCAGCACAAGGATTACTGGCAATCGGATCTAAAAGGAGTTGTAAAAATCAGTTAGAAGGTTACTCTTAGGATAGGTCAGGAGAGCATGTGAACACAGGAATATCTGTGGTGAAGGCTCATTATATTATTTTGTACTAAAGCAGTCAATGGGGATTACTTTTCTATGCAAGTCAGGTGCACATCATTTCTGCTAGTGCTGACACATGCCAGCAGGACTTAGCACGGCATTCCAAGCACTAAAATTCCCACTAAAGAGAGGTAGGTCGAGATTATTTACCAAGCCTGACTAGTTGTAGTGTCTGGGTATAGAACTGAAAACTGGAAACGAGGCAAATAGTCGAGCAACTCACAGAAGAAAAGCTCTGAAAGGTGCCAAGGCCAAAGGAGATTTTTGTTTTCTTATTGCTATCTCCTTTGCTAGCAACGAAAACTGTGAGAAGGGGCAAGTCTGAACTCTTGTCCAGTACAAGATGAATGTATAACAAACAGAAAGGCAATCACAGTCCTGGATCATAAAACCATAATGAATTTATGTTCCTCATTTTAAATGAGAAACTGTCTTCTGCTTGTAAACTAGCTGGAACTGCTCGGTGCGTAATTTATATAGCCCAAGCATAACTTGAATTGGGAAAAACAGCTGTGCAAAGTTCTTATGATCTAAGGGTTACCAGAGGATTTTCGCTTCAGGTAAGTATGTAAAGAAAAAACATCTCTGTACACCTATGAATAAGCTACAGTCCCAGGCAAAAGTGCTACTGCCAGAAACGGCCACATGACTGTTAAATGCTTGTAGGGGGCATTGGCTGAATTTCACCTATACCAAAGAAAAATACTCCAAAGTCAGTGCCAGGATGAGAAGCCAGTTTACTTAGTCTCATTTTTCTCTTACTAGAGTTTAAACACACTGGCTGTTTTGAAAGCTTGAGGTTTGGTTTTCCTGTTCTCTTAAAGAATCGATTCTCCAAATGTCTTCAGTGTTTAACCACAAACATGGTGGGCTGTGACCATTAATACCTTAGCTCAACAGTGCCTTGATCAGGTCTTTTCTGGAGAAAAAAACATTAATATCCCAAAACACACACAACAACGCACAAATGACACATTTATAATTTACTTAAACACGTTTACTTCCTGCACAGTACACAGTAACGTTTGTTTCTTCCAAAAAATAAAACCACTTTTAAATGACACATCCTGCATCAGATGTCATGGTCTGCTCTTGGGTTGAATATCAGGTTTTCAAGTGAAACTTCAGCTTCTGAACTATCAATAAGAATTAGCAGAATGTACATACAGGCAAATCTAGAGGTAAAGCTCCTGTAATGACGGATAATCCTATCAACGGCTACAGAAAATGACAGTTGCACAGCTTTTGCAATGAACTGCGAACAATTAAGCAAATTTACTTTTATTATGTTACTACAAGAAATTAATAATGATTTTCAATAAAGAGATCACCAAGACTGATGAAACTTACCTCTCGGAGGGTAGGTTTGCCTTTGAAAAATTCTGTGTTTTTGCTGCTTTTTGGTGGGTTAAATCTTAAATTTAGAAAAGCACATCCATTAGCAATAGCCTCTAAAGGAGCTGGGCCTTCATATGGAAATCCGAGACCAACAAACAGCTTAAAAACAGAAAATAAACATTGTCTTAATTTTTGTTCTTTACAAAAACTGAAAGCCAAGAGCTAACTTAAAATAAACAATAATTAGTTCTAAATGTACCAGCCTAAGAAAATGTAATGCTAAGATGAGAATGGGTGAAACCCAGCCGCTGACCTCCTCCCAGCCAAGCAGTAACAGGAATGTCCTGTAAAACACATTTGACAAATCTTCTGTAATGAGCTGAGGTGGTCTTTCACAGAGCTGAGGCAACAACAAATCCCTTATTTTTTTGGGGGGAATAATAAATAAAAAAAAGTCATTTGGTGGTTTAATCGCTGCTCAAATGAAACTGCCAGGGCTCTCTTGCAGGTACGGGTTTTACTGCAGCAACCTCACACAACAGCTCTGTCACTGTTTCCCCCCTCTCCCCTACACCAGCCAACCCGCTGGCTTTGCCAGTATGAACAAGGCTCCTGCCAAGATGGTTAAATCTTTTAATTAAAACAGTAGATGGCAGCAAACAGCAGCTGAAGACGCTGTACCCAGGCAGCAAAAGCTTGCATAGAGGATTAAGAGGGTTCAACGCCTCCAAGGTAAATTTAAGGAGGAAAAAACGCATCACAAAGCTATTCTTACACCAGCCAAGATTCCAAGCACTCTAGAAAAGGCAGCGCTTTTCTCCAGCATAAAGACATTCAATATGTTTTTAGTTGCCTAGCTTTTATTTGGATCTTGACCACTTTCCTCACCCAAGGTAATTAAACCCCCTGAATTAAAATATAGCATCCTTCATCTTTATTTGCATGTCTGTGCACAACTGGAGAATTGCAAGCTCTGATTTGTAACAGTAATTTCTCAGCACTCCTGCATGACATACATATCTACCGCTTTTGTCAAGAAAATAAAGAGCAACCTTTAAAGCTTTTAAGATCACATATTCAGGATGTTCGTATTCAAAGAGGTCAATTTACACTATTCTGGAGTTAATTTTTTGCAAAGTGGAACACAAGATTCAAAACCGAAGGCCGTTTCTAGGAGCTGATCTTAAACACTGATGCACAAACCTGTAGTCAGTATTGTCGTGCACAGGCACTGCAGCACCAATCCTCTCCAGCTCATGGCAACAACAATATAAATTCTGAGTTCGCTCATTTTAAAAAGAAAGTTGACACCTCTCAGCATAATTGAGGACACACAATTTTCACTGCATGCAGCTGAATATTGGTATTTCAGTTTTCAGGTTAAAGAAGTCACCTACTTGCAAAAAGTTTCTCAGCTATCTCAAAGATTTAAATCTTACAGGTAACTCTCTAGTGACTGATAAAAAAAAAAAAATACCTGGAAGATTAACTCCACTAAAGTTAGCTTATCTAAATTTGAGGTTTATATATGGCATAAGATACACTACCATCCTTTAGTCACAAAAAAATGAATAGTAAATTTCATCTCAAAAGAAGCTTAATTTAAAGAAGGGTAATCTCTTAAAAATAATCAATTACAGACATGAAACCATTTCATGCACTCTGCACACATAATGTTATTTATTTAAACTACTCCTTAGTTCAGGCAGACAACCAGCTGAGAACCAGCAATTAAAACCATCTGAAGTATCAATTCTCCTATGATTTTCTCCTTGTCTGTTATGTAGAGAATACTGGTTTGTTTGCTTCATTTTTCACTTTTTAAATAAACTGCTGCAGTGCACTGCTCAACAGTTCACTGTCTAACTGGTCCGTTTATTCAGGAGGAAGCTCCAAGGGGAAAGAAACACAGTTTTATGTTTTGACAGCACAGAGCACGCTGTCAACACTTAATCTATAATAAATAGCTTACCACCTGTTTCGCATCCATTTCCCAGCCTTGCCTCTAAGCAGCACCATACCTCCGAAGGAGGAGAGAAGGATGTGCCCGATGGCTAGAGCGGCGAGTGTGTGTGTGCGGCCTGTTGGCCTGGGCCTGCAGCCGGGCTCACAGCTGCCTGCACCTCCCCAGCTCCTTCCTTCAGCCTTCCACAATCTTCTGTTGCTTTCCATCACTTCATGATCAGGTCAGCTGAAACTCCGAAACTGAACCTAGACCCTATTCCTGAAAAATGCCCTTTACTAACATTCCTTGGTTAGGGAGCTAGTATTTTTGAATAATCTAAAGAGCAAAACTGAGGAGTATCTTAATTGCCTCAAGAAAGCCATATTCGTTATGACTAAAAAAGCAAGCACTAGAGAACACAAGTCATATCTGTAATTCGTTCTTACGATGCTCTAATTTGCCAATCCTTTGATTTACATGCAGCTTGTTATTTGCATGAGGCTAAACCAATCTATCAAGCTACCTCCTAAAAGTATGCAACAAATGCTGCAAGTCACTAATTGAAAAAGAAGTGGGGGGAAAAAAAACCCACATAAAAATAACAGGCAACAATTTTCAGGTCCCAGTGAAGCAGCTGAGGCTGTGTGGAAGACAAGGCTCCCTTCCCACGAAATGATAAAGAACAGCCTGTGTTTCCACTATCTGCCTTTACCACATAAGGTGCTGACTACGCTTTTAGGGTATTCTCTTCCCAGACGCTATGTCTGGTAACACAGTCCCCCATGGAGAGGCACCCCCATGGCTGAAGATCTACAAACTCCACACTGGACAATGCTGGTAACATAACTGTGGGTACACATGGTTCAAAACTGTTGCCCTGATCTTGCTTTGTTAGCTGCAGCATAATTACTGTGCATGTCCTGGTTTTAGCTAGAACTCCAGTCCTGTTTAATGATTTTTACTTTCCAGCACAGTCTCTTCTGAAAG